GAGACAGAAAAACAACAGAGACAAAAAACGAATACAACAGAGACAGAATACAACAGAGACAGAAAAAAAACAGAGCAGAATACAACAGAGAAGAATACAACAGGGGACAAAAACCCACAGAGACAGAATAAACAATACAACAGGGGACAGAATACAACAGAGACAGAAACAACAGAGACAGAATACAACAGAGAAGAATACAACGAGCCCAGAATACAACAGGACAGAATACAACAGAGACAGAATCAAAGAGACAGAAACAACAGAGACAAGAATACAACAGAGACAGAATACAACAGAGACAGAATAACAAATACAACAGAGACAGAATACACCAGAGGACAGAATACAACAGAGACGAATACAACAGAGACAGAAAACAACAAGAGACAGAAAAAAACCCAGAGACAGAATACAACAGAGACAGAATAAACAGAGACAGAATACAACGGACAGATAAACAAGACAAAATAAACAGAATACAACAGAGACAGAAAAACAACAGAGACGAAAAAAACAGGACAGAATACAACAGAGACAGAATACAACGAGACAAAAATAAACAGAGACAGAATACAACAGAGACAGAATACAACAGAGACAGAATACAACAGAGACAGAATACAACAGAGACAGAATACAAACAGAGACAGAATACACAGAAAACAACAGAGCAGAATACAACAGAGACAGAAAACAAAGAGACAGAAAAACAACAGAGACGAATAAAAACAGGGGACAGAATACAACAGAGACAGAATAAAAACAGAGACAGAATACACAGAGACAGAATACAACAGAGACAGAATACAACAGAGACAGAATAAAAACAGAGACAGAATACAACAGAGACAGAATACAACAGAGACAGAATACAGGCAGAGACGGGAATACAACAGAGACAGAATACAACAGGGGACAGAATACAAAAAGGGGACAGAAACAACAGAGACAGAATACAACAGAGACAGAATACAATATGGAATTGTGTTGAATTGTTTAGGTTAGGCCTTGTCTCAGAGTAATGCTCCTCAGAGCCAGATGCTGATGACAGGTTGCCCTATGCTGGGCAGCTTGCTTCGAACCCCCCCACCCCCCTAGATGTTTGGATGACAGGTTTTGCACTATGCTGGGCACCCAGCTTGCTTCAAACCCCCCCCACCCCCCCAGATGCTGATGAACGGTTCCCCCTATGCTGGGCAGCTTGCTTCGAACCCCCCTACCCCCCACCCCCCCACCCCCCAGATGCTGATGACAGGTTGCCCTATGCTGGGCAGCTGGTTCGAACCCCCCTACCCCCCCCCACCCCCCAACCCCCACCCCCCCAGATGCTGTGATGACAGGTTGCCCTATGCTGGGAGCTTGCTTCGAACCCCCTACCCCCCACCCCCCCCCCCCCCAGATGCTGATGACAGGTTGCCCTATGCTGGGCAGCTTGTTCGAACCCCCCACCCCCCCCCCCCCCCAGATGCTGTGACAGGTTGCCCTATGCTGGGCAGCTTGCTTCGAACCCCCCCACCCCCCTAGATGCTGATGACGGGTTTTGCCCTATGCGGGAAAGCTTGTTTCGAACCCCCCCCCCCCCCCAGATGTGATGACAGGTTCCCCTATGCTGGGAGTTGCTTCGAACCCCCCCACCCCCCCCCCACCCCCCCCCGATGCTGATGACCGGTTACCCTATGCTGGGCAGCTTGCTTGAACCCCCCCACCCCCCACCCCCCCAAAGATGCTGATGACAGGTTACCCTAGCGGGGCAGCTTGTTTCGAACCCCCTACCCCCCCCCCCCCCACCCCCCAGTGCTGATGGACAGGGCCCTATGCTGGGCAGCTTGCTTCGAACCCCCCTACCCCCCACCCCCCACCCCCCCAGATGCTGATGACAGGTTGCCTATGCTGGGCAGCTTGCTTCGAACCCCCCCACCACCCCTAGATGCTGATGACAGGTTGCCCTATGCTGGGCAGCTTGCTTCGAACCCCCCTACCCCCCCCACCCCCCCAGATGCTGATGACAGGTTGCCCTATGCTGGGCAGCTTGCTTCGAACCCCCCCACCCCCCTAGTGCTTGATGACAGGTTGCCCTATGCTGGGCAGCTTGCTTTCGAACCCCCCCACCCCCCTAGATGCCTGATGACAGGTTGCCCTATGCTGGGCAGCTTGCTTTCGAACCCCCCTACCCCCCCCACCCCCACCACCCCCTAGATGACTGACTGACAGGTTGCCCTATGCTGGGCAGCTTGCTTCGAACCCCCCCTTTCTACCCCCCCACCCCCCCCCACCCCCCAGATGCTGATGACAGGTTTGCCCTATGCTGGGCAGCTTGCTTCGAACCCCCCCACCCCCCTAAGATGCGGATGACAGGTTGCCACTATGTGGGCAGCTTGCTTCGAACCCCCCCACCCCCCTAGATGCTGATGACAGGTTGCCCTATGCTGGGCAGCTTGCTTCGAACCCCCCCACCCCCCCCCAGATGCTGATGACCGGTTGCCCTATGCTGGGCAGCTTGCTTCGAACCCCCCCACCCCCCCCAGATGCTGATGACCGGTTGCCCTATGCTGGGCAGCTTGCTTCGAACCCCCCCCACCCCCCCCCCCCCCCCAGATGCTGATGACAGGTTGCCCTATGCTGGGCAGCTTGCTTCGAACCCCCCCACCCCCCCACCCCCCCAGATGCTGATGACAGGTTACCCTATGCTGGGCAGCTTGCTTCGAACCCCCCCCACCCCCCCCCCCAGCCTTACTGATTTCAACTTTCGTAAACTACATTAAATATATTCACGTCACCAAATAACTGATTAAAACACTCTGTTTTACAATGAAGGTCCACAGTAGTAGCCTCACCAGCTCCCTCTAAGGTAGCACCATGGTGTAGCCGGAGGACAGCTAGCTTCCGTCCTCCTCTGGGTACATTGACTTCAATACAAAACCTAGGAGGCTCGTGGTTCTCACCCCCCTTCCATAGACTTACACAGTAACTATGTCGACTTCCGTAGGACGTCCTCCAACCTATCAGAGCTCTTGGAGTATGAACTATGAACTATGAACATTACCTTGTTTAGGAACCTCATTGGATCCCACCCAGAGCGGGGTCAAATCGACCGTTTTTTTTCTCACAGAGAGGGAAAAAGTTGTTCACTTTTCCAGACAGCTACAGCTAATAATAGGCTAGCTAGTAGCTACAGCTAATAATAGGCTAGCTAGTAGCTACAGCTAATAATAGGCTAGCTAGTAGCTACAGCTAATAATAGGCTAGCTAGTAGCTACAGCTAATAATATGCTAGCTAGTAGCTACAGCTAATAATAGGCTAGCTAGAAGCTAAAGCTAATAATAGGCTAGCTAGAAGCTACAGCTAATAATAGGCTAGCTAGAAGCTACAGCTAATAATAGGCTAGCTAGAAGCTACAGCTAATAATAGGCTAGCTAGTAGCTACAGCTAATAATAGGCTAGCTAGAAGCTACAGCTAATAATAGGCTAGCTAGAAGCTGTAGCTACTAGCTTCGTTAAGTTTTTGTTAGCGGTGAGCTGAATAATTATAGCTGGCTAATCAGCATGGATATCCGAAAATGGCTGGGCATTGCCAAGAGCAAAAGAGGACCACCATGTCGAGCGCGATGCCGAGCTCACCGAGCAGCCTGCTGGCCTGACCACCGAGGTTGAGGAGCCTAGGAGCTAATGCTAATGCTACACATCGTCTAAATGGTAAGCTCCAACCTTCAGAATGATTAACTCATTGGTTTTCCCTCATGTAAGCCTACTGGTTGTTGGGCAGACTTCTGAATTTAATGTCTAGTTTACGCCTTTGCTTTTTACTTCAATGCATCTTTTACATTTATCTGTGATTCCTAATGTCATTGCTTGCTTTTGCGGGTCTAATTGCTATTGGTAGATATACAGCTTTGTGTTATTTGACGGATAAAAGGACTATGACCTACTGTTGTGCTCCGAGGTCATCCTTTCATCAAGCCAACTGGCGGTATACTTCTGTCCATGGTTACGACGTTTTGATGAGCACATCTCGGGCTACGGTAGACTTCTGTCCATGGTTACGACGTTTTGATGAGCACATCTCGGGCTACCAGTCTCTGTGGAGCTTCTCTTCAACAACACGTGATTTATTGTGGCAAAATGATAGTTGTTGTGTATATGGCTGCATTTCAGATATGCCTCCATTTTTTGTACATGTTGTATGTCACAGTAGTAAAGGACCAATACCGTGTGTAGCCTACTAAAAGAAGCAGGCAAACGTTCACTCTGTTATCGTAAATTTTTGCGTTACACAGGCGTTGTGTGATAGGCCACTGTAAAAGTGATGTCAGTACTAAACAACACAGCCTATTTTTTCTCTCCCTCCCTGCTCTGTTGCTATAGCGTCTGTTGCTATAGCGTCTGTTGCTATAGCGTCTGTTGCTATAGTGTGTGTGTGTGTCTGTGTTGCTCTCCGAGTGGGACGTGTACTCTTATTCAACGCAGATTCAAATGAGCTACTGCCATGTAGAACATTTCACATCAGCTGTGAATATACAATATGCACTTACTTTGATATACTTTGCTTTTCTGAAACTCTCCCACACAGAAAGTATTGCGCACCTGGAGAAATGACGGCTTGGTTACACTCATTGCGTAGTGTCACAAATTCGACAGAAATGTAGCCTATAGTTCTAATTATTGAAGTTTAAGCTATGAAGCCTGTAAGAATCATTTAGATACACATGTCATAGAGGAACTGCATTTCAGATACACGCGTCTTAGTGGGGCGCATATCTTTCTTGTGTTATTATATAAAGCGACGGTTGTTGATGTGTACGGCTACATTTGAGATACATTTTTGTACGTTGTACGTAGGTGATCTGCAACGCCGCCACAGAAAGGTTGCACTGTGCAACACTTCAGCAACGTAGGCGACCTGGAACGCCTCCACAGAAAGGTTGCACTGTGCAACACTTCAGCAACGTAGGCGACCTGGAACGCCTCCACCAATACATTTGAAAGTGCAGACTTACACCAAGCAGCTGAGGTCAGCCAGGTCATCGATGAAGTCATACAGTTGACTGATGTCATATGTGATGGACGGACTGTTGGGGTTCATTCTCTTTAGGTGTTCCTCGTACATCTTACAAACACCTGGAAAGAGATTTATAGATTAGTGAAAGTGAAAATATTTTCACCGGTTGACCATCTAACGGCATTAACGTTCTCCACAACGTTGGTTTGCTTAACTACCCTGTGGTGTCCTAGAGGTCAGCGGACCAGCACGGTCTCACAGACTGCGTGGGTTCCATAACCTGCTCTGTCAGTTTAGGTGGCTGTCAGTTTACCTTCCATGCACTCGTTGACCGATTCATAATCAGCATATGTCCTCCCCTCTGGCCTCTTAGTAGGCTGCACCAACAGGATCGTGTGAGACTGCAACAATAAAAACACATGAGAGATGGCAGTATTCAAATCTCATTGTATTGTATTTGAACAGTAGCAGGACCAATCTTCCTTGTGATATTAGGGCACCCCCATGGATTTAAAATGCCCTCTCAGGCATGTCATCATTGTCCGAATGGACAAGTACAAAAAAAAACTGAATCACACAAAAATCGCCATATCAAACAATTGCTCCAATCAGAATTGTACATAAATAAAAACGCCTACATGTCAAAGTGTAGGTAATATGCATATTGGCTACAGCCTCATGTTATTTATTTATTTATTTCACCTTTATTTAACCAGGTAAGCCAGTTGAGAACAAGTTCTCATTTACAGCATGTTCAAACCGATGCTGACATGAGGGAGGAGCCCCATTTTTTTTTGCCAACTTTAAATGAGGCTTTTAATTACATACTGTACATGTAGGCTAAACACCAGTCATGTTTGACAAATATAATGAAGGATAATTAACATTAAAGTCTAAAGGTTTGATTCTGTCGACCATACTCCAGGCACTGTTCAGATCAAATAGTCACAAGACCGGAGAGAGGAATACCCTGTTGAGCACATCACCCACCTTGAATCTGAGCGGAGGTGGTCAGCATTTTTATTTTCATTTTATGAAGAATGTTTTACCTTGTTTCAAAGTAGCCTAACCTAGCCAAAATACTAACCCATAGAAATAGAAAAATATTTTATAAACACTTAACATTGACCCCAGAATTTCTATCACATTCTATTGGTTTTCAAATCAACGTTATTTTATTGTCCAGCAGCCAAAGATATAATCCTAGTCACATTAGTGACCCCATGCTAGTTGTTGCATCTTTAGATCTCACTTTTCTTAATGTTTAATGGATATTCTGATCTCTGTCACATGAAACCGCTCGTGCATGCGGTGCGCTTTTAAGAACAGTGTTTTCCAGCTATTTGCATTTTGGAACATTCATGAATAGCCTAGAGCCAAGTGTGCATTATTGAGCTTATAATATGAATAAATACAACATTATCAACATTTTAAGCTAAACGTTCTGATCTGTTGTATCAGCCTCCTTGCTTTAAAAAATTAATGGATGTGCAGTGGTTGTATGCATTTTGGATCTGTTGTCCCAGAATGTTCCCAGAGTCTGGTTTGAACCATAGGCAAACATCCTTCAGGAGAGCCTTAAAGGGGCAGTGTTGTATATTGAGACAGGCTTGAATACAGAGTGTAGCCTACATTTCTGTCTGATTCTCTATGGTAAAAAAATAAGATAGTAATGCATTTTATTTTGTAAAGTGGTTCCTTGCATCACACAACATTTTTTTTAATGGTGTTACAGACCAGTGACTTGAGCTTTTGGACAAGTACCAAATCTGTCCTACTTAATAAAAGTGAATGTCATCTAATTAATTTCTTCCAAAATGTTGAAAAGCAGCACATATTTCATTTAATTTTTTTCCCCTTCGTTTATCTTTCACATAGACTACTTAGGTAATGCAGCTAATTTAGCTGACTCAACAACCTGACTCAAACCGAGAGGAATGGTATTTATGTTAGCTAGCTGGCTAAGGCTATCCAACACTGCTACTCTTCCAACACTGCTACTCTTCCAACACTGCTACTCTTCCAACACTGCTACTCTTCCAAGTCAAGGTAAGCTTTCAGTTATATTAATTTATTGCCAATGGGGCTCGCCGGTGTAAGTGCTAAACTAGATGCTCGCCGGTGTAACTGCTAAACTAGGGGCTCGCCGGTGTAAGTGCTAAACTAGGGGCTCGCCGGTGTAAGTGCTAAACTAGGGGCTCGCCGGTGTAACTGCTAAACTAGGGGCTCGCCGGTGTAAGTGCTAAACTAGGGGCTCGCCGGTGTAAGTGCTAAACTAGGGGCTCGCCGGTGTAAACTGCTAAACTAGGGGCTCGCCGGTTGTAAGTGCTAAACTAGGGGCTCGCCGGTGTAAGTGCTAAACTAGGGGCTCGCCGGTGTAACTGCTAAACTAGGGGCTCGCCGGTGTAACTGCTAAACTAGATGCTCGCCGGTTGTAAGTGCTAAACTAGGGGCTCGCCGGTGTAAGTGCTAAACTAGGGGCTCGCCGGTGTAATGCTAAACTAGGGGCTCGCCGGTGTAACTGCTAAACTAGGGGCTCGCCGGTGTAAGTGCTAAACTAGGGGCTCCCCGGTTGTTAAGTGCTAAACTAGGGGCTCGCCGGTGTAAGTGCTAAACTAGGGGCTCGCCGGTGTAACTGCTAAACTAGGGGCTCGCCGGTGTAAGTGCTAAACTAGGGGCTCGCCGGTGTGAGTGCTAAACTAGGGGCTCGCCGGTGTAACTGCTAAACTAGGGGCTCGCCGGTGTAATGCTAAACTAGATGCTCGCCGGTGTTGTAAGTGCTAACTAACTAGGGGCTCGCCGGTGTAAGTGCTAAACTAGGGGCTCGCCGGTGTTGTAACTGCTAAACTAGGGGCTCGCCGGTGTAACTGCTAAACTAGGGGCTCGCCGGTGTAAGTGCTAAACTAGGGGCTCGCCGGTGTAAGTGCTAAACTAGGGGCTCGCCGGTGTAAGTGCTAAACTAGGGGCTCGCCGGTGTAACTGCTAAACTAGATGCTCGCCGGTGTAAGTGCTAAACTAGGGGCTCGCCGGTGTAAGTGCTAAACTAGGGGCTCGCCGGTGTAAGTGCTAAACTAGGGGCTCGCCGGTGTAAGTGCTAAACTAGGGGCTCGCCGGTGTAAGTGCTAAACTAGGGGCTCGCCGGTGTAAGTGCTAAACTAGATGCTGTACACTGTACTGGGTGATTGTACACATGGATTGGTTTGTGGGTTTACTAACGTGTTAGTTCTAGTTTGTTGACTATGACGTTAATATGGTGACAACGATGTAGGCTGTGTGTAGCGGTTAGCGGTTATGGTATGAAGGTTTGGCTTGGAAAGGTTTTTTCGGCTGGTCACTGACAGCTGATGTGTACTGATGTGTACTGAAGTCCACAAGCGAAGGGAAAAGGTGAGAGGAGGAGAGCACTTAGATGCAAGAAGGAATTATACAACGAGCAAAGATGATGCTGTCTGTATGTGGCTGCTATGAAAGTGAACTGTGTGTGCAGATGATCAGGGGTGTATTCATTCCGCCAATTCTGTCACAAAATGTTTCTTAAACGGAAGTAAACGGAACAAAACGGGGAGGGACCTACCTGAATATGTCCAATAAAAACTATATTTTGGACTAATGATTACACCCCAGATCATCTGTGCAAGCTGGTATTAAATGTGTCACTGTTTTGGCTAGATTGTAGCAACCTCATGATGGGTATAGGGAAAGTCGTACCCTAAACCTATTGATGTACATTGAGCTGTGTAAATGGAATATTAATGTCATCCTGTAATAGAAATGAGGCCAGTCAGTATCAGTGTGAATCTGTGCTGCAGCAGAGACTGAAGGTCATTTACTAACCCTCTCTGTCTCTACCTCCACTAACCCTCTCTGTCTCTACCTCCACTAACCCTCTCTGTCTCTACCTCCACTAACCCTCTCTGTCTCTACCTCCACTAACCCTCTCTGTCTCTACCTCCACTAACCCTCTCTGTCTCTACTACCTCCACTAACCCTCTCTGTCTCTACCTCCACTAACCCTCTCTGTCTCTACCTCCACTAACCCTCTCTGTCTCTACTACCTCCACTAACCCTCTCTGTCTCTACCTCCACTAACCCTCTCTGTCTCTACCTCCACTAACCCTCTCTGTCTCTACCTCCACTAACCCTCTCTGTCTCTACCTCCACTAACCCTCTCTGTCTCTACCTCCACTAACCCTCTCTGTCTCTACCTCCACTAACCCTCTCTGTCTCTACTACCTCCACTAACCCTCTCTGTCTCTATACCTCCACTAACCCCCTCTGTTCTACCTCCACTAACCCTCTCTGTCTCTACTACCTCCACTAACCCTCTCTGTCTCTACCTCCACTAACCCTCTCTGTCTTACTACCTCCACTAACCCTCTCTGTCTCTACTACCTCCACTAACCCTCTCTGTCTCTACTACCTCCACTAACCCTCTCTGTCTCTACCTCCACTAACCCTCTCTGTCTCTACCTCCACTAACCCTCTCTGTCTCTACCTCACTAACCCTCTCTGTCTCTACCTCCACTAACCTCTCTGTCTCTACCTCCACTAACCCTCTCTGTCTCTACCTCCACTAACCCTCTCTGTCTCTACCTCCACTAACCCTCTCTGTCTCTACCTCCACTAACCCTCTCTGTCTCTATACTCCACTAACCCTCTCTGTCTCTACTACCTCCACTAACCCTCTCTGTCTCTACCTCCACTAACCCTCTCTGTCTCTACTACCTCCACTAACCCTCTCTGTCTCTACCTCCACTAACCCTCTCTGTCTCTACTACCTCCACTAACCCTCTCTGTCTCTACTACCTCCACTAACCCTCTTCTGTCTCTACTACCTCCACTAACCCTCTCTGTCTCTACCTCCACTAACCCTCTCTGTCTCTACCTCCACTAACCCTCTCTGTCTCTACCTCCACTAACCCTCTCTGTCTCTACCTCCACTAACCCTCTCTGTCTCTACCTCCACTAACCCTCTCTGTCTCTACCTCCACTAACCCTCTCTGTCTCTACCTCCACTAACCTCTCTGTCTCTACCTCCACTAACCCTCTCTGTCTCTACTACCTCCCACTAACCCTCTCTGTCTCTCACCTCCACTAACCCTCTCTGTCTCTATACCTCCACTAACCCTCATCTGTCTCTACCCTCCACTAACCCTCTCTGTCTCTACCTCCACTAACCCTCTCTGTCTCTACCTCCACTAACCCTCTTGTCTCTCTACCTCCACTAACCCTCTGTCTCTACCTCCACTAACCCTCTCGTCTTACCTCCACTAACCCTCTCTGTCTCTACCTCCACTAACCCTCTCTGTCTCTACCTCCACTAACCCTCTCTGTCTCTACCTCCACTAACCCTCTCTGTCTCTACTCCACTAACCTCTCTGTCTCTACCTCACTAACCTCT